AAACTGCAGGGAATCACATCATTCAAAAGTTAAATGATGTCTCTTCAGGTGGTCCCTAGTATTCATTGAGATTGTAAACATAATTATAAACCCTGAAATAGCAAAAAGGTACTCTTGAGATTTAATTATCCAGATGGTGTAGCAGGAAAATGTATTTTTAAAAAAAATATTCAAATTAAGATGAAAATATACAGAGAGAGAGAGATTTTTGCAGAGCTCAAAAGAAATGTGAGAAATGTGTATGCTCCTCTTAGGGCTATGGGAGCCTTGACAAATATTTGTAGCCCAGATGAGAATTTTAAAAACAAATAAACAAACAAACAAAAATCCTAGGAGGACAAGAGCTATAACCAAGGTCTCGGGAGGGCCAAGTCAGTGAGCACATCTACGATTACTGATCAAAGACACATTAGCCAAATGAGGAACCCTGGTTCTCTGAAAACAGAGGAGTAAACGAGATATTTGAGTGCAATTCTGTTTATTAGCCAATATGAGATATTTGCAAAGTCTTATAAACTAAACACAACCCTGCCATTATCCACACATGCATATGGCTCAAGATTTAACAAAATCTCCATAAATAAACTCACTACGCAGAAAAAGTAATAAAAATGTACCTATATTCAATGTAAAACACCAATGACCTTGATAATGAGTGGAAGAGAGGATAGGTGGGAGACAAGAATGATGACGACCTCAGTGTGGCAGGGCTGTGTGTTGTGGGGGATGAGGGGGGCGGGAAGGGCTGCTTTAGTATCAACACCATTACCTAGCCTGGATCTGAAAACCTTGAAGTGGAAAGTTGCTCTCCCAGACTCCTGTCAAAAACCAAGTCAAGGTGTGTAGACAGAAAAAAATACATACTGGAAAACTCAGTTCATCCCCAACAAATACACCCCCTCTCCTTGACAAACAACTTCTCTGTTGCTAATTCAAATACAGAAAATTCCACTCTTTTCTAGGCTTGAGGGTATATAAAAAACATCTCTAGCAAATGTGTTTTTGTTCTTCAAGTGACCAATAACCTCAAAAAAAAAAAAGAAAGAAAGAAAGAAAAAAAGAAAGAAAATACAGTGTCCAAACAAAGATTTCCTGCTTTAAAAGCAATTAAAAAAAAGATCTTTAAAAGGACTGCCCTGGAGAAAACAGTCAAATAAGACAATGGCCATGGCCAAACAACAATTATTAAAAGGAAAAGCATCCTTCACTTCACCTTTACCCCAGATACCTTAAAAATCAATACAAAGCAAAACAAAACTTATTTGCCCTATTCCAATTGCCAACTCCAACTGCCGAACATTAGAAAATTGGAATCAAGATATTTTGGGTATGACTTGAGATGGTAACACAACATTCACACTGTGATCTAAGTACAGTGAAGGGGGCTGAGTGCAGTTTTATCATGTTGTTATTACTGTGTTAAAATCACTACCTTTCCCACAGAGCAGCAGCATGAGACTAGATGTGGGTTTCAACCGCAGCTAGGCACATGATGACTTTTAAATACCTGGGGCTTGCTCAAACTGAATCATCCTCTGTTTGGATACTAATTCCCCCCCTGCCCGAAGGTGTAGACATGATTAATTAAAGTTTAAGAATAAACTGTCCCAGAGGGAAAAGAACAGAGAACCTCAAGGCCGAGGCCTAAATCCTGGCTCACACTTATTTGCTAATACCTGTGTGAGACCAGGCTGTTTGATGCAGGCTTTTAATTCAAATGTTTCTAATCCCAAGTCCAGCACAATGGTACCTTTCTGCTTTTTGCCAGGTGCTTTAAGCACCGTGATTAATGGGTTGCCCCAAGGGCCCTTTATCAATGTTTGCATATAGATTATTTTCTAAGATGCAATTAATAAAATTCTATAAGCAGAAGTCTTTGTGTAGAGAATGTTCCTTTTCTCAGAGTAGGACCTGGCGATGAAGGACATGTTCCGCCTAAGCTACTAAATGAAACACCAGTTAGACTAGTTCTGTGTGAGAGAATTCACCAGTTAGACTAGTTCTGTGTGAGAGAATTCACTATACAAACTTCATAAAGAACCTCAAATAATAAAGAGGAATGCAGTCTCAAAGGAGCTTCATTTTATCTGGTCTTACAGGTAGATAGGTAAGCACAAAAAAGGCAGAAAGACACTTCATAAAGAATCAAAGGGGAGGAGATGGTGGGAGAGCTGGGATGAAACTGACATGTCAATAAAAGAAGCAATGGGCCCTTCCTTCACTTCCCTTAGCTATTCTTAAATGACTGTTTTTGGAGGACTCTGTGTGGTGTCCTGGGGAACCCGGACTCCAGAGAGAAGTTGGCTCCTCTATGTTGGCTCAGAAATGCTCTGTAAATTTCCAAGAAGACAAACTCCAGCCCCGCTCTCTGCTAGAGGGGTAGAGTTACAGCACATCAAATATAAGTTGGGCCTAGGAGATTCAGAGGAAAATTGCTTGCCCTGTGATATGCTGACACTCAACACCATTATTCTTCAAATACACACAAGACCCTCCAGCCGAGTAAGGAAGAGCGGTGAGTCCAGAGACACCTGGAAACTGTGTAAGTCACAGAAGGTGGAATTACAGAGAGAGAAAAGCAAAACACCCCTGCATCCCACTCCAGTTAGATTAACGTACAAAGGAAATCATGGCCACATTTCAAATGAACACCACATTCCTGCCTTCGAAGGACTTAGACTAAGGAACTTGTTGCTTTTAAGCTGGTAGTGGGGAAGGGCTGATTTCATCTCCTAAATCTCTCCCTCTTCTCCATAATCTTTTCATGATCATTTTTGGCAGTGTGTACTAAAAATAAACAACAGAAAAGGGCCATCAACACTCTTGTCTCTCTACCACACACAAGAGCAGCTTCTGCCCTATGTACCATCTTCCTTAGTCTCCAAGTAATGAAATCCACACATGCATATCAGGTGTTTGTGTGAGACAAGGATATTTTTTTCTTATGTATTAATTACTCTGGGCAAGACACTACTATTTGGCCTGCATCTCCTCATCTTTCACATAGGAAGAGTGTGTGAACGAACCTTTTAAGCTCTAAAGCACTGAAGTGAAACTGACATTTTTGCTCAAACATCTACAATCTACCTGCAGATTTTAAAGATGAGACACTAATTCTCTCTCATCTTTGAATTAAAGTTAGAGCCTCAGCCACCCCTACCAAAATCAGAAACTCTTAAATTGCACAAAGAATGGGGGCTGGGGAGGGGGGGATAAGTAGAATGGTTGCTGTTACTAACACAAGTCTTTACTGTCCATTTTACAAGCTAGGGCCAAAAGAAGATACACAGGAAGAAAAAGAAAGTCTGCCTGGCCTTGTAAGCCCTCTCATTTTCTGACCTCTAGTGGGACAAGGCTGAATTTAAAGTCTTAACTTCCTAATACTGTCAAACCTGATTACCCCAGGCTTGGAGTGGGGTGCAAGGTGAGAGGATAGATGTCATATGATGGGTAAGAACATTACCTCGTTGGCCTGTAGGAATAAAGGCCTTATTTTTCTATCCACCCCTTTTCCTTCAAAACAGATTTTCTCTTTGGAACAGATATGTTAAGAAAAATCAATATCCTTCCACCCCAAAATGCTCTCTTCCAGAAAATTTCATTATGTTCAAGTTTTTGAAAACATTCTGGCCTTGCTGTTTATTCCTGTATCAATAATTTAAGGTCAGCCACTGTTTCCCATCACTGGAACTCAGTTTCCTCATCTGTAAGCTGGGGAGAACCATCTCCATTGGCCACCTGAGGTTCTATGTAAAGATCCAAGGCTGTGAAAACATATCACAAAATGAGAAAAGTGGTACACAGGTGTTTGCACATGTGCAATCTACATAATAGACCCCAGCGTTCTCAACCCAGGAAGGCTTAACCCTATTAACATATCTTGGATTTTACAAACTCAACCATAGCCTTAATTAAACTGCTCCCAAACAAAGGAGCTAGCTAATTTGCTCGTCTGAACCTTGGTTTATTTCTAATCAGATGCTATGAAAGAAACACCATCTCAGTGGCCCATATGGACCTAGGGGAAGATTTAAAAACAATCCATGAATCATATCTGAGCCTTTAGTGTCTCAACTGTCCTGTTCTACCAGAGAACCATTTCTTACTTAAAAAAAAAAAAAAGTGAAATTAGTGGCAAGAGCTCAGGATAAAATGATTGGTTTTCATTTCTACCCAAAAAGCACCAAATGGTCCCTGAGCTGCTGCAGGGCTAGGCCCCAGTGAGAACTTGAGCTCCCGAAGCCGCAGGACCCTCACTGCCACCCCAGAGACAAATGCTCTGAGCTCCGTTTTGGCCCTTGGGATTTACAGACTTCCTTTGGAGCTTTGGAAGATTTGGTAATAAGAAGACATAAAAGAGACAAGAATAGAAGAGTAATACAGATTAAAAGAACTTTAGGCAGAACTATATTAAAGATAAAAACACACTGATTTGACTCCCCACTAAAGAAAAATATTTGCAGGGAGTAAGACCTTGGCAAATGCACTGACTCCAGAGTTGTCACAGCCACAAGAGTATGAGTCAGATGATTATGCCAGCTGGCCTACCACAAGGGTGTGTGTGTGTGTGTGTGTGCGTGTGTGTGTGTGTGTGTGTGTGTGTGTGTGTTGAGGAAGAAAGTGATACAGAGGAGCTAAACCTGGAAGGGTACAATTTTTTTTTCCCTGAAGTGTTAGATGCATCAGCAGATTTCTGAGAGTCCTTTCCTCCAGGTCCACCTGACAAAGGCAGGCAGGAACATCTTACCCCATTCACTGTCATTCCCTCCTCTTTTCTTTATAATGAAGTCGAGGTAGGAATATGGTAGTCCCATGGTTGATAAATCTGGCTCTCCAGGTTAGTCCAGGGAATCAAGAAATGAAGTAGGTCAACTCTGGGGAAATAAATGGTGGAGTATGAGTCCATTGGTAGAATGGGCTAAGAGGTGACCCATTCATAGCGCGCTGCACGTTACAGTCACCCTGATGCTGTTGTGCTATAGGAACATGGCAGGAGAGTCCAAAGAGAATGAAGGGACAAGGCTTCCAGGAGCCCAAGAGACCTAGAGAGGGAGTAGAACAAGTTATAAATATGTAAACAATCTCATCAGCCCCTACTCTCCTTACTCCCACCACCAACAAACACATGGGTTAGACCAATGATTTACGATGTAAAACCAAAATTCCACCACCTTGCTAGGGAAATGACAATTTTACTCTATTGTAAATTGATGAGAACATTATGAAGTTGGGTTTGGCTACATGCCCCACATATTTAGAGGAATCTAAATACGTTACAGAGAGGAGATGCTCTTCTCAAGTCTCCAAAGGCATACCACAAGGCAGAGGATGAGAATGAGGTCGGTATGGTCCAAGGAATAAAGCCAGGACTCACACATGAGCGCTATTGGAAGACAAAGTTTTTTTCTTTATGCTAAACTCAAATCCACAAATCATACTATACCTTGGGCAATAGGGAGCTCTCTATCATTTCAAGTATGACTAAACTATACAAACACCAGTGAGAATACAGGTTGAACATCTCAAATGTAAACATCCAAAATGCTCTAAAAGCTGAAAATTTTTTTAGCACTGATGTGATGCCACACATGGAAAACTCCACAGTTGACCTCATATGGAGGGGTTGCAATCCACATAAAGCTGTACTAAAATATTGCATGAAATGACCTTTAGGTATAAGTGTAAGGAGTATTAATTTTGTGTTTAAGTTTGGGTTTTACCCCAAGACACTTCATTATGTTTATTCAAATCTTCCAAAATCTGAAATTTGAAATACTTTGAGTCCCAAGCATTTCAGATAAAAGGGACCATAGATTAATTAAAGGCCTTGGAAGGGGGATTATGTCAGATGACCTTGAAGTTATGTACACTGACTGATTTGGCATTGGTCACCTTTTCTTACAGGAGGTGTAGAAATTGGGAAACTAAGGCAGTCATGGCATTAGCAAAATATCTATGTATCTATCTACCCATCTACCTATCGAAATGGGAGGTGAAAAGCAGCTGGTTAGTTGAAAATTACAATTCTATCCACTTTGTGTCATAGTGTTGCACACTACCTAAGGCTAGAGAAGGGAGTGTTGGCTATGGAATAATTGCAATAGTGAGACTGAATGAGTTCTAAAATGAAAACTCCAAATCTGGGCTCTAGCCCAGTTTCACCACTGATTTTATTTACAATTTTGAGCAAATCTCTTTTCCTCTCTGTTCCTCGGTTCTTGCCTGTGTAAAATGAGGCTAATGTGCTCTGACCTGCTCACCATAAAGAGGTGTTATGAAAGTCATATGAATGCAGATGTGGAAAGGATGTATAAATTTTGACTGCAGACAAGGAGAAGACAGAAAATCTAGCACAGTTTAAACACCTCGAATGCATGAGATATTATAAAAGTCACTTGCACGTATGTTTTCCATTCAGTCATCCCAAGACCTTACGAGATGTGTAATACTTTTTCCTTTTTATATGTGAAGGATCTGAGGCTCAGGGAAATAAAAAGATTTACACAAGGTTCAATAGCTATCAGGTAATGGAGGTTTGTTTGAAATACAGGATATCTAGCTGACAATGCTTGCTATTATCCCTACTATGCCATTCTACTTGTATACGTGAGAGAACATCAACTGAGTATCCTGAAGCCCTGAATGAGTTTTCTATAGGCCAGGATGGAGAGATTCATGTCATGGCACCTTGGTCAGTTCCCTGACAATTTTAGGCCCAGAAGTGTGATGCCTGAGTGGATCAGAACATCAGCATTGTTACTGTGTTGCCCCTCCACCCACCACCAGTGTTCCTAGCTTGCTGTTGTTTCACCATCCCCAGCAAACTTAACAATAGGGATTCTGAGGGAAATTTCGTGAGGGTTATCCATAATTTCTACCCCACCTCTCCAGCTCACCTCAGTAGAGTTAAGGGCTGGCAACTTCAAAGGGCACATTGAGCTGCAGCCTGTCTCCAGAGCTTTCGTTTGCGTTCCCCCCCAACGTCTCAGCTCCAGTATAGGAAGCAGAGCTGGAAAGCTTTTGCAGGTCCAATTCTGTGCATTCAATGGGGGTGTGGACCCATTGGGAGTGGCTCTCTGAAGCGCAAGAGGCCATGGTAACGGACTCCTGTGTGGGGAAGCCACGAGTCGAGCTGCAGTCGTCATCCAGGATGGGGTTAAGTGGCTGGCTCTCAGAGATGTTTTCACTCACTGGGGACTCTGGGCTGGTCTCCTGGCCAGGTGGCTTGGGGAAGAATGACTCTTCTGCTGCCTCGTCAGCCTCAAACTGCACCGAAACTCCTGCAACTCAAAGCAGAAAGCCACTAGGTCACCCAAAGGCAGGGACTTTACTCAGTAGGGCACCTGGTCCTGAGCACAAGATGGGGAGGCATCTTCCAACAGCCACTCCCCTTCCACTCTTACAGGAACCAAAGTACCTAGCTCTAGGCTGACATAACATGTTTGAGAAAATACTCACTTTCCAACATCAGATTGAGGCTAATTTGGTTCTGGGTCAGGAAATAATTTATCAAGACAAAGGAAAAAGACATTCATTCTTTGTTGGAAACAGGATTATGACCCTCCTTCTAGTACCATGATCTTCATTCCCTGGTGTCACGTCACAGTATATTATGTTCAATGGTGAAAAGGATTCCATAGATGGAATTAATGGGACTGATCCTAAAATAGGGCAGTTATTTATATTGATATTGATTTATCCAGATAAGTCCAGTGTAACCACATCCTCATAAAAGCAGAAAAGGGAGATATGGACATTGTGACACAGCAAGGTAAGCTGCTAGATTCCATGTTAGTGTGATGATCTGGGTGCTGGCAGTTCTTCTTCCATTCTGTCTCCCTGCTAATGTACCTAGAAAGGCCATGGAAGATGGCTCAAGTTCTTGGGCCCCTGGCATCCAATCAGAGACCCAGATGGAGTTACCAGCTCATGGCTTCTGCCTAGGCCCGTTATGGCTATGGTGGCCGTTTGACATTCGGGGAGTGAGCCAGTAGATCGAACATCTTTCTCTCTCTTTCTCTCTCGGAAGATCCATTTATGTGTGTGTGTGTGTGTGTCTGTCACTACCTTTCAAGTAAGTTAAAATAAACATTTGGGGATGGCAGAGTGATGTAACAGGCTCATCCTAAATGTGTGGCACTGGTATCTCACTTGGGTGCAGGTTAGAGTCCAAGTTGCTCTACCTCCAAGCCTGCTCCCTGCTAATGGCCTGGAAAATAAATAGAGAATGACCCAAGACCTTGAACTTCTGCACTCATGTGGGAGACCTAGAAGAAGCTTCCGGCTCCCTACTTTGAACCAGATCAACTCTGGTCATTGCAGCCATGTGGGGAGTGAACCAGCAGCTGGAAGATCTCTGTTTTTCCCTGCCTCTCTCTCTCTCTCTCTCGCTCTCTAACTGGCTTTCAAGTAAAAAAAAAAAATAAATCTTTACAAAAAATAAAAATAAACATTTAAAAATGGAAATGGAGGGCAAATGAGACCTAGAAAGTGGCAGTGGGATGTGGCATGGGAAGAATTCAACCCACCACTGATACTTTTGAAAACAGAGCCCGCGTGCCAAAAATTAGGGGTGCTTCCAGAAGATGGGAACAATTTTAAGCTCCTAGCCAGTAAGAAACTGGGATCCCAGTTCTACAACAGAATGAAACTAAATTTTGCCATTTGCCCAGGTGATCAATTAAGGAGATTATCTCCAAAGACCTCCTGCAAGGAATGCAGTTCTGCCAACATCCCAACTTCAGCCTTGTGAAACTAAACAGACACCCTGCTGAGCATACTGAACTTTTGAACTATGGAACTTATAAAGATAAGCTATTACATGTGTAACAATTTATTACAGCAATGACAGAAAAATAATACACCCTTAATGCATGAGTCTGATCCACTGGCAAGTTACAAACCGGCAACCTATTGGACGTGTGTGTATTTGATCTTCCCCATCGTTATTGCAGGTTTGGCCTTTTAATCACTCTGCCAGTGTTTCACATTATTTCATACAACAGTTTGTATTCCTGGTTCTCTTGAGAATTTTAAAGATCTTTTAGCCCCGACTACTCCCTCATGGTAACAAAAGGTTCTCCTTCAGACAAGATACATACCCTCTAGCTAGCCATAGGGTCCAATTCTCTCTCTTGTACTTTTCACTGGATCAAATTTGCATGTTACTCTCAGCTACACAGCACCTTCTTCAAGTCTCTATAGAGACCATGAGGAAGCTGGCTGCCCTCATACCCCTGGGGCAGTCAATTTTCTCATTATTTGATGAAAGAAGTGGGGAAGAGATAATGTTACCCATTTCTATTTTTTTTTTTTTCCTGAGAGGAAGAAGATATGTTCTGAGACACTCCTTCACATCTGTCTTACTGAGCTCTAGGTCCCAACTGCTTCACTGTCTGTGCTATACACCCATGCCCTTATCTGAAACACTGGATTTCCAAGTCAGAAACAGGATGGTTCACCCAGAGCCACAACATTCTAGGAGCTGTCTAAGAGGAAAGGAAAGGAAGTTTGAGAAGGGTCATAAAGGGACAATAGTATTTCATCTCTACCTAAGCCACAAGCATAGTCAAATATATCGAATAACTTTTTTTTTTTTCAAAGTCATCTGGGAGGCTCCAGAGCCCAAACTGATCAAGACAATGGTTATGACGGACCTCTTCTCATACAAATAAAATGAAGTTTTACAAAGTAGTGTGATAGAGCTAGTGTTTAGACGCAGCGGGTTAAGCCTCAGCCTATAACACCGGCATCCCACATCAGAGTGCCTGTGAGTCTTGGTTACTTTGCTTCTTACTAATGTGTCAGGGAAGGTAAAAGATGATGGCCCAACTACTTGGGTCCATGCCACTCATGTGGAAGACCAAGATCTAGTTCTTGGCTCTGGCCTTGGGTTGGCCAAAACCTGACTATTACGGCCATTTAAAGAGTGTATCAGCAGATGACAGATACCTCTGTTTCTCCCTCTCTATTACTCTGCCTTCCAAACGAATATATAAACAAAATCTTTAAAATCAGTGTTACAGGGCCAGTAAGGTAGTATATCATGCTAATCCTCTGTGTATGGTTCTGGCATCCCATTTTCTCCACTTTTGATCCAGCTCCCTGCTAATGTCCTGGAAAGTAGCAGGGGTACCAAGGTGCGTGGCCCCCTGCATCCACATGGTAGACCAGGAAGAAGTTGCTGGCTCCTGGCTTCAGACTCCCCAGTTCTGGCTGTTGTGGCCATTTGGGGAATGAACCACCAGATGAAGGATTTCTCTCTCTAGTCTGTTTCTTTTTTTTGTATGTGTGTAACTCTTTCAAATAAAAATACACTTTCATTATTTTTCTTTATTTGAAAAGCAGAGTTACAGAGAGAGAGAGAAGGAGAGACACACAAAGAGAAAGAGGGATTGTCCATCTGCTGGTTCACTCCCCAAATGTAGCAACGGCCAAAACTAAGTCAATCCAAAGCCAGGACTTTTTTTGGGTCTCCCACATGGGTGCAGGGGCCTAAGGAGTTGCGTCATCTTCCACTGTTTATCCAGGCAGAGACCTGACTCGAAAGTGGAACAGCCAAGACATGAACCAGTGCCCCTATGGGATGCTACCACCACAGGCAGCAGCTTGGCCTACTATGCCATGGTCCTGGCCCCCAAAATAAATAAACCTCTAGAAACAAAAGAAAGCAAAACAAAAATATGGTAATGCTTTGGCCTTACTAGGCTCAATCAGAATCCTGATTAACCTTTTAATTAATCTAGTAAACTTTATATTCTTATTAAATAAACTTCATTGACTAATTCAAGTGTCTGTTTTGGTATCTCTGCCTAAGCTTCATTGATGTTACACTGAATCTCAATACTGTAGGCTGGAGTTCTAATTCTGTCTGGTCCTGATCAACCATTACCCCACATCCTTCATCTTCTTTGTCAGTGATCTAAACTTTCTTTCCCAGATTCGGTTAATTGATGAACTTTTACTGAAAACAGATCACAATGTTACTGTAACTGCAAATAAAACCATCCATTTGGAATTTCACTTGGCTACTTCCTATGGGCTTCTTGGAGCATCAAAACTGACAATGCAAAGAACCCTAAGTTTTTTTGTTTTGTTTGTTTGTTTTTAATTCCTCTGGACCCTGGGTTTTCAATGATCTCCATTTGAAACATGACTATACTGAAAATAGTTTGGTAGAACTCACACATTTTTATCATAATTAGATCTCAGATAGTCAAGCATTTTTTCATTCCTGACGTGTTCCAGAACCTGTATCCATTAATATAGATAGAAGACTAGGAAACCAACTTATTAAAAAACTAATATTTTATCTCTCATTGGAAAGAATAGAGAGAAAGGAACTCATCAAACTAAAATAAACATCTACCTTTGTGCAGCAGTTAAATTCTCATTGTAGGTAGATTTCAATCTCATGTCTTCAGGTTCCTCTCCCAAGGAGTGAATTTTGAAACACTGAAACGTCAAAGGACTAAGTACCCTAACTCTCGAAGTTTGTCTCAGTCATCTTTGAAGTCCCATATTTTCCACTGCTGCCCGGATATCTCTGAGCCCAAATCATCACCCTGGATGCCAGGAAATGCCCGTTAACTTTCAATCCCTGAAAATGCCCATTTTCTGTCAATAAGAGCTTTGCTTCCCATTCATATGAAACGTGAAGCAGCCACCCTTACCACGCTGGCAATGTCTGTTGAAGAACTGCTTGCAGTAGAGGAAGAAGAGCCCCAGGAAGGCCAGGGTAAACAGCACTAGCAGACTGCTCACCAGTGCAACAAGTGGAGCCTCCTGAGGGGGCACTGTGGGTGCATCTGCCTTCACTAAGCTCAGTTGGAAGGCACCTGTGAGACAAAAAAAAAAAAAAAAAAGTGGAGGAGATAGTAGTCATAATCAATAGCTATCGTGACGCTGGACCTGCATTTTCTCAGGCCATCAGCCTCTCTGTGGGGCCTTCCTTAATTAAGGCTGTATGCTAGTTCAGAGTTTTCGTAGAATAGTCAAAAGTATAAAGAATAAAGCAGAGGTACTTGCCTATGCTGCTAATATGGTATAAATTAGTATAATTAATCAGATAGGTACATAAGCTATGTTTTCTCCATCTAGTTATATACCGTAGAAAGTGGAAACAAGCTAAAATGCTCATCAGTAGAAGATAAATAAATCATGATATAGCACCAAGATTTGATATTATTATACAAGGTAATAAATCTTTACATATCAATGTAAATAATCCAAATGGGGAAAAAACGGTGGGAAACAGTACATAGAGTGATATATCTATAGAAACATATAAATTACAATATTAGCACTTTTTGCTCATGAATATATATAAATGTCACACAAGCATGTAAATACTAAAACATTAGTGGAAAGTACAGCAGAGACCTATCGTGCTTGGCCATTAGCCACATGCTCCCTTTTGTTCCTCTTACACCCTTGCAGCAAAGCCATCAGACTTCTTCTGGCCAATGCGTTTTGAGTGCAAATAACATATGTCATTTCCACATTGAGAGAATTAAGAACTACTCTATCTCTTCTGCTTACTTCCCTTAACCGGCAACTGCAAGCTACATGGTCCAGAAGGCACAGTCATTTAATAGAGAAAGGTCTTCTACTGTCATTAAGTCACAAAGACCTGGATTTGTTACTGTAACATAGCCTATCAACAATAGTGGTATCTGAGGACAGGTAGGAAATACAGAACGGAATTCAGAAAGGATTTAAAAAAGAATTCCAGTAAGCTTATGGAGCCTTCATGACTTAAATCTAAAGCAAATATGCAAAAAACTAAGACTTACGAACTTTATGTTCAGTAACTGAGTATTTTTATTTTTTCTATTTTCTGCAATTTAAAATATTCTATAGCTTTTTATTACCTCATGATCTTAAGTACAAAACTAATTTTTAAAAAGATATGAGACAAAGATGACAAATACAGAATAATAAAGCTATTTACTAAGCCCTAGTTTTTAAATCAGTCTTTCATAATTCCTAAAACTTAGGGCTCCTCATAAATCTCGTATGCTAATAATTCAGGAGTCAATGTCATAGTGTGGCACGCTAAGCCTTCACCATTTTGGCACCAAAATCCCATATGGGTGCTAGGTTGAGGACCAGTGGCTCCACTTCTGATCCAGCTCCCTGCTGATAAACCTGGGAAGGCAGGGGAGGAGGGAAAACCTACATGAGAAACACAGAGGAAGCGCCTGCCTCCTGAGCCCAGGCATCAGCATGGCCCAGCTCTGGCTAATGCAGCCATTTGAAGAGTGAACCAGAGAACGGAAGATCTCTTTGTCTCCCTGTAATTCTTCCTTTCAAATAAAAATAAATCAATCTATAACAACTAATTCATAAGTGTTCAAAAGTTGAAATGCATAAGTGCTTTTAAACATTATTTGTTTCATTAGGCCTAGACAACTATTGCATAAAGTATGAAAAAAAAAAAGTCATCGTAAATCACCTTCTTTTCACATGGTGAAAATGAGGTTCAGTGGGTTTGAATTATTTGTAGGACGTTACATACATATTATGACTTGAAATTAGGATTCAAATCTGATTCCCTTGCTACTGTACAATAAACACTATGAGACATACTGCATTCCTTAGGAAAGGGGAAGTCTTTACTAGCCTATTTACTGGATGAGGGAGGAAACGAGAGAAGGGAACTGGATACACACACTGAACCTCAGAGGTGGGGGTCTGCTTCGTGCACGGGATGCACTCTTGGTCCTGTAGGCCTCCAATGCGTGTCTTTCGGTAGAACCTGTAGTCAAAGCAATAAGGAATGGAAGGGTGACCAAATGAGCAGTGCACTTGGACCAGTCCTTCCTGAGATCACTCATAAACTTCTATGAATCTTGCCCTCCAGGCAACCAGCAGCTCTCTGGTCCCATTTCTGGTACCATGCCAGAGGCCTGGACATTCAACCTCTTTTCCCATTTACCACACCCTAAAACTAAATGGAAAGCTGGTTCCAAAAGAGAAACATTGCTTTATATCTACCATGTCATCGTGTTTGTTTGTTTTTTTTTTTTAACTCAACAGTAAAATTTAGCTTGAATTTCAGAGCTGAAGTTTATAGCGTGACTGCCATGAAAAAGCTGTTTACTATGCATCTATGACTGATCATTTGCCAGAAACATTACAGGGGGTCTTGGGAAGATACTGTTTCTCCTTTGTAGCAGTTCAGATGAATATGATGTAGACAGTGAGGATACATCAACTATGGTCTGGGAGGTAATGATGAGAGACATTTGAGTGACAAAAAAAATTCCTGGGATGACCAACTGGTGCAAGGATTAAGAAACCGCTCGAGATGCCTACATCCCATATCAGACCGTGGTTTGAGTCCCAGCCATACTTCCAATTCTAGCTTCCTGCCAATGTACATCCTGAGAGGCAGGCGATATTTCAAATAGTTGGTTCCTGCCATCCACACAAGAGCCCTGGATTAAGTTCTGGGCTCCCAGCCTCAGCTTAGCTTATGTTTGTCTGTGGAAGAAATTTTGGGAGGAAACCATTTGATGAACTATCTCTGTCTATACATTGGTCTGGGTCTCCATTTCCATCTTTGTCTGACTCTGTCAGCCTGTCTCGATCTCCCTCTGCATTTCAAAGCAAAAACAAATAATAAATCAACAGTAAATAAATTTAAAAAAAAATCCCAGAATAGCATGGCTCAATACAGCAGGCTCACCTGGGCAGACAGTCCCCACAGACAGCATTAGAGGTAGGTGTGCAGTTGGCCTTTTGCACACGATTGATAACCGCACAGTTGATACAACTCTGACATCCGTGGTGGCCCCAGCTACTTTTGTACCTGCGAGGAGGGCAGGCTGTGCAGTAGGCATCTCCCCCCTCTCCATAGCCACAGTCCTGCAGAGAGATGGGGGTCATGAGCATTGCTCTACAGGAGCTTGGGAAGAGCAGCAGCTACGGGACAAGTGAACATTATATAAAGTTGTAACCCTATTCTTGGCCCATAAACTCAATTTACTAGGTTAAAGTCAGTATTGAAAATGGAATAGAACAAAATGGGATAATGTTATCAAATCAGTATATAGCATGCAGTATAACCAAATGTCTGTAACAGTCAGCATAGCTTAGGTAGGTGATACTATGGGAAAAAAAAATTAATAAATCCAAACCTTGGAATCTTTGTTTTCCTGCAGAAATGGTTCTTTTCATTTTACTCATATGTTCTTGGTTATACATACTGCCTTGTCATTAGTAATTTCAAATGTTCCACAATAGCGCAATTCTGCCATGTACCAAAACCCCAGGAATTGGAAATATTTGTCAAACAGCTATAATTACTACCCACAGCAGTCTTGTTTTTATACATTTTACTGATGAAATAAAGGTGATCATGTTAGGTTGCACTTCAAAATGTATTTCTTATTCTAGATCATGTTCAAATATGTTGAATTTCATCTGATCCTTTATCTCAGGTCTGATATGAACTCAGTATAACTTTGAACCAGATACTCCACATCATTTTTACATCATCAGGGACTTCAAACCCTGAATGGATTGGAACTGATGGTCATCCAGCTTTGCTAGCCTAACCTCCCTAGAGTAAGCACCTGCCTGATATTAACCCAAGGTTTTTCTCAAGTTTTGGATGCATACAGAGTTTCTATTTGGGGTGATTAAAAAAGAAGTCCAGTGAGATTTGTGCTGGGGTGTAGTACGCCAAGTCTTCGCCTGAGGTGCCAGAATCCCACATGGGCTGTGGTTCAAATCTCAGCTGCTGCACTTCAATCTAGCTCCTTGCTTATGGTCTGGGAAAGCAGCAGAAAATGTAGCAAGTGCCTGAGCCTCTGCACCCACGTACGAGACCTGGAAGAAGCTCCTGCTGGTTTCTGGCCTCAGAATGGCTCAGCTCCAGCCACTGAGGCTATCTGGGGAGTGAACCATCAAATAGATCTCTCTCTTTCTCTCTCTCTATCTCAGTGTCTCCTTCTTCATATGAATGCATCTGTCAGATACAAATAAAAAGATTTTATTCAAAGTTGGGCAAAGAGAACATGGCAATGGTTTTACAGCATTGTGAGTATGATTAATGTAATTGAATTATATACTTAGAATTTTTAAAATAACAAATTTCAGGTTACATTTTATGCCAAACTTGGAGGCTGGAGACATCCCAATATCTTACTCCAAAGCATCCTACAAAGCTACAGAAATTAAAACAGTGCAATACTGACAAAAAAGCAACACATAGATAAAGGAAACAAAATATAGAACCAAGAAATTAACATGAATACATAAAGCCAACTGAGTTTTAACAAAGATGCTGTGAACATACACTGGAGAAGGGACAGCTTTTTTCTTTTAAGTAAGCAATGCTGGCAAAATTATGTGTGTGCATGTGTATTTCTGCGCGCACATGTGTTTCATATATAGATATATACCTATCTATCTGCCTATCTATTTATGTATATATACAGACACAGATATGAAATTAGATCACTACCTCTCAGTATATGCAAAAAATCAACTTAAGATGGATAAAAGACCTACAATATGACCAGAAACCATGACATTGCTAAAAGAGACATTTGAAGACATTGGAGTAGGCAATGGCTTTTTGGTTAAGATCTCAGAAGCGTAGGGAACAATGCAACCCTAGACAAACGGGATTACATCAAACTCGGAAGTTTCTGCTAAGCTAAGGAAACAGTCAAGAGATATTAAACAGAATGAGAGAAAAGGTTGTAAGCCACTTGTTGGATGATGGATTGATATCCAGAATATATAACGAATTCAAAACACCCAATAACAATAAAACAACTAATCCAGTTTAGAAATAGACAAAGGAATTAAATGTGCACTTCACAGAGAACAGAACATGGAGAGGGCATTGTGGCGTAGTGGGTTAAGCAACCACTTAGTATGCCTTAAAGTGCCTGAAATTAAGTCTCACTTGTTTGCCAATATACTTCCCGCTAACGACCACCGTAAGTGGCATACTTGGGTCTGGGTCGCCTACATTTAAGACCAGATGGAGTTCCTGGGTCCTGGCTTTGACCTGGCTGCTGCAGGTATCTGGGAAGTAAACAAGCAGATGAATGATTTCTCTCTCCATCTCTCTCTCTTTCAAATAAAAAAAAAATGGCCAACAAATCTATGAAGAAATTCTCACCATCATTTCCCAACAGGAAAATGCAAATCTAAACCATAACAAAATATTACCTCATCCCAGATAAAATATCTATTATCAAAACACAGTAAGAATTATCAATAATGATGTAGAGAAAGTGGGGAGTGGTGGTCTTGGAAACTGTAGAGGCAAATGGAAATAAGTAGAGCCATTATGGAAAATAGTAGGGGGTCTGGTGCGATAGCGTAGTAAAGTCCTCACGTTGCACGCCTGGGATCCCATATGGGTGCCGGTTCTAATCCCGGCTGCCCTGCTTCCCATCCAACTCCCTGCTTGTGGCCTGGGAAAGTAGTCAAGGACAACCCAAAGCCTTGGGATCCTGCACCCAAGGTGGGAGACCTGGAAGAGGTTCCTGGCTCCTGGCTTCGGATCAGCTCAGCTTCAGCCATTGCAGCTGCTTGGGGAGTGAATCATCTGATGGAAGATCTTCCTCTCTGTCTTCCCTCCTCTCTGTATATATCCACCTTTCCAATAAAAATAAATAAATCTTAAAAAAAAGAAGAAGAAGAAAAGAACATTTTTGGAAGAGTCCCTTTAAAAACTATAAACAGGAGCCAGCATTGTTGGCAAATGGATTAAATCACTGTTTGAAAACTGGCATATCATATCAGAGTACAAGTTCAAAATCTGGCTTCTCTGCTTCCAATCCTGCTTCCTGTTATTGTACCTGGGGGGAAGCAGCAGGTGGACCAAGCACTTGAGAACTGGCCCATTACCACCAGTCTGGGAGACCAGGATGAAATTTCTTGGCTTGGGTCTGGCTCAAGCCAGACTGCTATAGCCATTTGGGGGGATACACTGGTGCATGAAAGTTTTCTCTCTCTCTCTCTGTCATTCTACTTTCAAATAACTAAAACAACCCCCGCCAAAAAAAATTTTTTTCAAAAAATTAAAAACCTCAATCTGAACATGGGAGTTATTACTACAGACTGGGAGGATTTGGTGGGAGTGAGGTTCAATAACAGGAACGAAAACAGGACTCAGTGGAGGTACAAAGATTGTACTGGTATACAGCACAGAGGTGGTTACTGCTTACAGTAACATATACTGTAACAACAAACGGAAGAAAGGAGTTTCAAGTCTCCAATCATAATATGAGGTCAAAGACAGAAATGCTGATCATCTTTATTTCATCAGTACAGATATTATATGTATTTATATATTGATATGAAACACTGTGCCCCATTAATACGTATACTTATTGTTAACAATTTTCAAAATAATGCTATATACCAAGTGACACTGAATTTTCGGCTTTGAGTCAATGATATGGTATGTAAACTGCATGTCAATAAAATCATGAAGCAGTGACAGAGCATCTAAAAGACTGAGTCCCTAAATGAATGAAAATAATCCTCCCACTTGTCAACTCCTATTGGAGTTAGAAATAAATCCTTGATCCGTTACATCACAACATTTAATATTTATTTGTGACAGCAGGTAGAATAACCTGAATTCATACACTTCACAGGGATGAGATTAAACATCAGCCAGTCTCTAACTGTTCCAACTACCATGCCCCGTTGCTTTGGCTGCTCTGGCCTTACCCAATACCTCAGAGCTGTCCTCACAAACAGCTCTTCCGCCACATCCTGCGCCAATACATGTGAAGGGTCTAATATGGGTGCCTTCTGTCTTACTTTCTACTCTGGTTTTCCTGGGAAAGCAAAAGGCTTCTCGGAGTCTCTGCTGTCTACAACATCAGAAAAGTAACACGTGCCATCTCTGCTTGACGGGATTGTCTAAGGACGAAGGAATAGGAAATACAGTGTAGTAACGAACCTCACTGATACACCCAGTGCCAGGGAAACCTAACTTTAACTCCTGTCTCTACCACTAGCAAGCCATGGAACACAATCTAAATGACACAGAGAAGAATAGTATGGCCCCTGCATAACTGTTAGATACAACTAGACTGCCATGTGAAGAAAATAAAATCATAAAATTTGATTGATTCCTCACACACTACACACCAGAACAAATTCCAAATGCATCAGATATTTAAATACAAAAATGAAAATTTGCAACTACTGAGATGAAGTATAAATGTTTTTTTTTCATTCATGTGGAAGTAGAGAAATCTTTCCTAATTATATTTCAGAATTGGGAGGCAAAAAAAAAAATACAAAGATTTTAATTAGATAAAAATCCAAAGAAATCTTTGCCAGGTAACATATTCATATACAAACCAGAAGATAAATGACACACTGAGAAAAACATACATTTCTGATATCAAAGACTAAGAAACTTTTAAAAATAAAGTCAACATCTCTGACCTCAAACTATATACATATGTACAAACATGTAAATGATTTTTAAATATTCTAGATTTTGTAATTTTTGTCTATCCAGGTGCCTTACACAAACAGAATAAACAATAAGCAATAACTAGAGTAGAAGAAAAAGTCTGAAATATACAACAAAATTAGGAAGTGCAAATAGATAAATAAGCAGAAAACAGTGGTATAGTCCTTATCAAATTTAAAAAAGTTAAAACAAAATCCCTCATAAAGCCATTTAAATTGGTTAGTTAATATCACAAAGGAAGGCATAAAATGAATAAACAATAAAACATGTATTATTCATTTACAGCTAAGTTTCTGGGACATGGGAATTCTGTGGCATCTTGAAAACACATGTAATTGCAATGGAAAACAGAATTTTCCGAAGTGTTATCTAATTAATGTATCTCAAGAATCTTAACGTCATATGTATTATTTACCAGGGTAATTAGACTGTATACTGCCTAATTATAGCATTAATTTCTGCAGTGATTTGTTTGCAGCTATAATTTATAATTCATGAGTAAACTTTTAAAATAAACAAAGGTAACTAAAAAAAAAAAAACCCTCATGTCCCAGATGCTGTTAGCTGCTTATGCAAATGACTTTTTCCTTACTGACAGAATAGTGATTTCATCCAAGGCGGCATGATGACCACCCTCAAGAATGGATTCTTGATTGGTCCTTGTTTAATCGTGACAATCCCGTTCTGACCTGTCAGATGTTCATTTCCCAGCCTCCTTTCTAGATACCATTGCTACATCACCCACTTGTGTGCCATAAAGCATACAGGGAAAGCTGCTGAGAAGCTTTTGAGCAAAAAGCAAACAATCCTTCCCTAGTGAAACTGAAGCTATTTTGAGCCTGCTTCTTTGATCACAGTAGGAATACATGTCTTGAACCGTGGCAGTTTTGAGGAAAAAAGCAACAAGGTGGTCGAGATGCATGAAAGAGCCCTGGGTCCTTGATGACACTGTTGACTTGCCCAACAAATAACAGGGCCATCCATCTCTAGACTTCATTTATGGTGGCAGTCATTATTAAATTTTATGTCACTTTCAACTTAGTACATCTTAGTTGATTCAAAGACAAAGCAATGTGCATTGAAACCATCTAGATGTATCTGGCTCCGAAGTTCTTGTATCTGTTTTTGCTGTACCGTTTTAACTTTGAGCAAGTCACATATGATCTTTGAGCTTCAGTTGCCTCAAACATAAAAGGGGCCTCTGAATACCTTTATGATGTGACTGTTACTAAGAGCTCCTTACAAAGCACAGACTATTTGACAAATACAACACACACATACATAATATATATGTTATATATGATGTTATATATATATATTATACAATATGTTATATATCATACATGTTATATATTACATAATTATATATTATATAATGTGTGTGTATGGCTGTTTCCGAATTATAAAGATTCCAATTCATTTATTCTCTCAAAGATTTATGGTGGTGCTGAAGTAAATAGTCTAAGAAGCACTGAACAAACGTGTACACCATCACAGCTTTCTTTTTAAGAATTGAGTAGCAACAGTTTGGCAGATATTTTTCCCCCCTTGAAGAAAGAAGTTCAGCTTTGTAAATATGAATGATTTAAAATAATAGGCATCGCATATGATGGGAAATATTGTGATACTTTTTGACATGATATCTAAAACAGATTGTGCGGCATAGATGTTGTGATGTAGCAAGTTAAACCACTACTTGTGAGGTGGCCTCCCTTACTGAAGGGAGGGTCCAAGCCCCAGCTACTCTACTTCTCACTCAGCTTCCTGTTAATGCACCTGGGAAGGAAAATAAGGTGATCCAAGTACTGGGGTCTTTGCTGCTCAAGGAGAAGTTCAGGATGAAGTTCCTGGCACCTGACTTTGGCCTGGCCCAGACATGGCTGTTGAGGTTATTTGCATAGTGAACCAGCAGATGGGACAGCGATGTATGTGTGTGTGTGTGTGTGTGTGTGTGTGTGTGTGTGTGTGTGCGCGCGCACATGTACGCATGCTTTTAGACCGAAAATTGCTCTATTTTCTTCCAGGCACATAGTCATGTCACTCTCTTACCCAAACCCCTCAAAAGTGTTTCTACTATACTTAGAGAAAAAAAAAAAAAAGGAAAGTTTGTTCTCACAGACTTTCATGCCTCCACATATTCCAGTGCATATTTCCCTTAAGTACCATTCCTTCTCAATTCTAAAACCACACTTTCACTAACTTTCTTTCTCTGCCTTGAACATTCCTAGCTCATTTTTGTGTAGGAATTTTGCAATTAATGTATGCTTTCCCCGGAAGGAGTCTTGCTCAAGAGACCCTCTCCTTCTTCCTTATCTAGCCTCTATGTCCCCTGTATATTAGACCTTCGTTAAATTCGTGTGGTAGCTTCATATTTGGATTCCTCACTCATCTATATATCTTATTTATTATTTATTTCAATATTCAAGAGGTAAGGTCAATAAGGACAATGTTTTTGGTCTGTTTTGCCATATCCATGATGTCTACAGCCATGTGTGACACTTTGCAGGTACTGAGGAAGTAATGAATGAGAGCATGAATGAGAGCATAAAATAAGATGTGATGGGCTGGTACTGTGGTATCGCAGATAAAGCAGCCTCCTATAGCACCAGCATCCCATACAGGTGCTGGCTCACATCCTGGGCACTCCACCTCAGATCTATCTCCCTGCTAATGTGCCTGAGAAAGCAATGCAGGGTGGATCAAGTGCCTGGGTCACTGCACCCTCACAGGAGACCAAGAAATAGTTCCTGGCTTCAGACTGGCCTAACTCTGGCTGTTACAACCATATGGGGAGTGAGCTGGTAGATGGAAGATCTCTCTGTGTCTTCGCTCTGTGCCTTCTCTTTGTGCCTTTCTTTTTTTTTTTAAGATTTATTTTATTTTTATTGAAAAGGCGAATATAGGGACAGGAGAGACAGAGAGGAAGATCTTCCATTCGATGATTCACTCCCCAAGTGAGCGCAACGGCCGATGCTATGCCAGTCCGAAGCCAGGAGCCTCTTCCGGGTCTCCCACGCGGGTGCAGGGTCCCAAAGCTTTGGGCCATCCTCGACTGCTTTCCAGGGCCACAGGCAGGGAGCTGGATGGGAAGTGGGGCAGCCGGGATTAGAACTGGTGCCCATATGGGATCCCGGGTGTGCAAGGTGAGGACCTTAACTACTACGTCATCACGCCGGGCCCTCTTTGTGCCTTTCAAATAAAAAATAACCTTAAAAAAAGTGTGACTATATAGAGACCATCTTCTGGCTCATTTCTTTCAGTCACAGTTGCATCTCAAATGTAAAACCACCTTCGTATTAAGCCACCAATGAAGTATCTGAGTCAGGAGCAATTAAGCAGTTGCAACCTCACTCCTGCTTAACTTGCTGGTTATTTGCAGTTGATTCTTTCCTCTAATTCTTTGCTTTACACAGACAGCTCTGTGATCCACATTTTCCTGGATAAAGGACAAATTTTAGCCTTCTCATTTGTTCTCTTGTTCTCATTCCCCAAACCTGGTATTCAACAGTAGGCCTTGTTTCAGTTGACAGATTTCCCTCATACAAAACAGTCCTCTAGGATATATGCATCCCACATCTCCTTTTGCATTACCTTGTCATTTCATGAAATCTTCCTTTGACCTTGCTCCTGACTCTGATCCTTCTGGACTGGCATGTAGCAGGAACTGTGACTGTTGGTGCCTACTGTTCAAATTTCATGTTTTGCAAGGCTCAATCCTAGCTGACGCTGACTAATCTAAACTTGTCTGATCTCATTTTCTAGGCTGGTTCCTAAGCTGTGGGAATAAAATCACTACACTGACTAGTGTGCCTTACCTTGGAGAGCTCCTGTCCAGGACCACACTGTAGGCAGGTGACACACCGTCCCCACTGGTCCCAGTACTCATTTTCTTGGCAATCCATGGTGGAAAAGCTGTGGGTAAAGAAAACAAAAACTAGGTAGCCGATTGTAGTAGATAAACAATAAATCATGGCTTCCATGACACTTAGCTTATGGGTCTTCTTAATCCAGTCTCTGGCTCTGAGTTCCAGAGAACAGGGAAACCAATATAAAATGTTTATTTCCTACGCCCTGAAGATATGCCAAGAACTCTTTTAAATGCTTTTACACTCCATAACTCATCCAATTCTTAATACATTCATATCTGGGATTATTATTAGCTCCAATTATTGCGACAGACACCAGCTGTGTGAATCTGGGCAAATTTCTTGGCCCCTGCAACTCAATTTCTTCATCTGAAAAATGGAGCTAATACTAACTGGTAAGGAGAATGATAAATAGTTGTCTTCTGCCCACAGGGTACAGAAAAGCACCAATCCCTTCATACATGATCACCTCTCAATGGTTTAGAAAGCATTTTTGTTTGTTTGTTTGTTTGTTTTTCTTTTATTTATTTATTTATTTTTCACATTTTATTATTATTGCTATCATTTTATGATACAGTTCCATATTCCCTTATCCCCCTCCCAATTCCCTCCCCCCCCCAGTTCCTTTATATCATTACTAACATATAGTTCTTCATACTCAGTCATACGTTCATCATTGCGGGCATGGACAATGGCAGAGAGTCCAGAATCCTATTGTCAAAATATAATATAAACAGTTTCACTGTAAGTCCATCTTTGTCTGGAAACAGAGATGCCGACCACACTGCATCCTCACATCTGGTTGTTAGTCTCCATTACATAACTACTGTACGTTCTCTTAAATGAAAAGTCATGATACAAAATCAACAACAGAAAGAAAAATAAAAATTTACAATGCAATGAAGTTAAATGACATGTTACTAGACATGACAGTCTCCATTACATAACTACTATACCTTCCCTTAAATGAAGAGCCACAAAACGAAATCAACTTCTGGGAGAAAAAAGAAATTAACAACACCAAGAAGTTAAACAACATGCTATTAAATGTATAACGTGTAGCTGAAGAAGTGAAAATCAAGAACCTTCTTGAAGAAAATGATACCAACAGAAAACAACAAAACCCATGTGATATAGTTTCCGCTGATCTTTGTTGGAGTGTGTCTCCTCTCGACAATAAACAGATGGGTTTTGTTTTTTAATCCAGTCTACTAATCTATGATGTTTGATTGAGCTTAAGCATTTTCACATCCTATGTTATTTGATTTATATAATATCCTTAAAAAGTAAGTGGCATAAGTATTATTATCATGCTTCCCATTTCCCAAGAGCAGTCTTTGATATGTCTGAGAACTGCTAGCTGCCATTGCTTCAGCCCTAGGCAGAATGAGAAGGAAGGATAATCCAGAGTGCAGAAATGTCCTGGTGTACTAAGGTACAGAAAAGGGGAAACATACTTGGGACAAAAAAATCTCATTAACATTGAACTAGGAATTGGCCACTATGTGTCCTGACTCTGGGAAACAATCTTCCTGGTTTGCTCAGGACAAAGATATTTCCCACAGCATGGAATTTTCAGTGTAGAAGCTGGGATAATCTTGGACAAATTTAGGATTATTTGTCCTCCTACCTGGCTCTTCCTCTTTCAGTTTATGGATGAATCACTTAGTGTCTTCGGGCCTTAATTACTTGATCTAAGAAAAAGGAGTAACTGTTCTTCATCTGCATTCTATGGTTCTGGGAGGGATTAAATGAGGTGAAGTCGAACAATCTGTTCTGACGGCCGTGGAGAGCTATAACATGTCCAGATGAGAACTTCAGTGAAAGAGGTTCAAGCAAGCACTGCATGGGGATCATGCTGCTCAAGAGGAAAGGAGGGATAAGGTACTTTTGCTCACTCTTAAACTCATGTCAGGGAAACTCTTAGGTGTCTCCTCACAGTATTCAAAGTTCCAAATGTGACTTGCAGTCAAGAGAGATGTATATGTGTACCTTTGAAGGCTACCATTCCTTCCCTCAGAAGTTCCCAACACAGATGTGATAAATCAACCTGACTGGCATTCGTGCCTAAAGTACCATCAACTAGACCTTTCTTCCCAGTTCACTCCTTCAGAGGAACCTGAACCATTATATCCACCTTTCTCAGAAGATAAACATTATCTTTTGTTCTGTTACTAGTTATTACTCTTCCTGATGTCAGTAAGCAAATTCCCTTCTCCTTGCTAGCTCTTTCTCATGAGGACAGACACCATTAGTGGTCTCACAGTTTCCATGACAATGGTCATCAGCTTCGTAGGGACAGGACTAGCATACTGGCCTGGACAAATCTTGTGTAACAGGAAAACATGGGTACAAGTCAATGATAGCCCCATCCCTTGGGATAATTTCATGACACAGCCATCTGAAAGCTCCATGGCAATTACTGCTGGCCTCCCAGTGTCTGAGACAGCCTATTTTGCTTCATTCTCAGAGTCACACCCACCTAATAAATATCATATGGTATTTCTTCCTAACTTGATCCTCAGTCTTGCTAACACAGGGTTACTGCCAACTTTCCATACCAGGATCTAGAGAATAAACAAAATGACTCTTATTCTCTCTCTCTCTCTTTTTTTTTTTTTTCAAACTTATCCAAAACACATCAAGTATCTTAATGACTCGCCTTTGTCAGAGAAAACACAATCTCATAGACTTTGGACTATTCTGAAAAGATCAAGGTAAGGCACGTGGATAAAACTTCTTCCTTAGGGTAAAATGTCATTATTTAGAAACAAGGTAGGCCATCCACCTGGGCTGGAGTGTGAAGGATACATCTAAGCAATGGATGCCACCTCAACAACTCCTTACTTAGGAACTGTTGCTACCAATTACCTAAGGTTTATGGACACAGGATTCCCCAAAATACTCTCAGTACCTAAGTCACCTTGTTTCCAGTACACTGGGTGTTTTCCTCAAGATATTACTGTGTAGAATGAACACATCTCATAAAGGCTTGGAAACTTTCCTGAGACAAGCGCCTTTAAATAAAAAGTTCAGGGCCTGGTGTTGTGGTACCGTGGGTTTAACTGTTGTTTATCTTGCTGATATGCCATATCCAAATACAGGGTCAAGTACTAGCTACTCAAGTTCTGATCCAGTTCCCTGCTAATTCACCTGGAAAGGTAACAAAAGATGGTCTCTGTACTTGGGACCCTACCCATGTGGGAGCTCAGGATAGTTTCTGGCTACTGTTATTGACTGTGGTCCAGTCCTGGCTCTTGAGTACATTTGGGGAGTGACCCTATGGATAGAAGAAGATTCTATGTGTATGTGTGTGTGTGTGTATGTGTGTCTCGTCTCCCTCTCTCTCTTATACGGGTATATCTCTACCTTTCAAATTAATATATATATTTTTTAAAAAGTAAAAAATTTGAAGGCAATAAAATCAGATTCACAAATAAGTGAGGATGCTATTAGGAATGTTCATTTTGCACAGAACAAGCCCTCTGAACTCCACATGCAGAGAAATCTTCCATCTCCCTAAAAAATGAGAGGAAGATGTAAAATATAGCCTATCAGGATCAAATCTGGTAACTCATAGACAACAGACTCGAGTTTCGGCACTAGACAATAGTGAAGCTACACAGGCATAAGGGAGGAATCGGGAGCGACCCTAAAAGCCTCTTAACAGGAGGTCAAGCGTATGGAGCAGGTGGGAGACCCCAAGTGGAGCGGGAGGTCAGGAGGAGGTTCGTATCCCAACCCTGAAGACTCCCAGATCCTCACCAAGGACTATCAGAACGGGCACCAAGGAGTACATCCCAACTGCCAAGGATAGCACGGGGAATAGGAGTGCCTTTGGAGGCCGAGAACTCTGAGGTCACCCACCCCTATCTGGAGCCTCCACAGGGAATGGAAGAAGTCCAAGCTCTGCCGTGCAGAAACCAGCATCATCGGAACAACAATCAGGAGCCCTGAGTGGTCTGCAGAAACAGATGAATAATAAACTTCCTTTGGGACTAGGGAGGCAAGCTTTCTCTGGTCCTTGCCTGGCTCTGGCTCTGGGTCCCCACCCTCCCTCGCAGTGACCATTAGGATTGCTCCAGAAACCCCTCAAAACAAACAAACAAATATACAAACAAACAAAAATCTAGAATGGACAGACAACAACATGGAAAGCTTAGAATCCGACAGGAAACGGCCAGCGTGGATCCAAACATGCCTCACTAGGTGGGACACAAAGAATAGTTACACCTCACTGGGGTATGGGGGATTTCTCTGCACACTCATCCTAAAAAAAAAAAAAAAAAAAAAAAAAAAAGTACTGTACCTGAACTGATAACGGTAGGGAATCCAGTTGAATATAAACCAAAAATTGAAATGTCTATGAAGAAGTAACAGGATGTAAAGAAACCGCATCTTCCTATTTACATACTATTAATCAATACCATGTCAATTAATGCCATAAGGTTGTAAATGGCTGTCGATATTATGTTCGGTCTTTTAATTGATTGGGATGATAATTTTCTGGCTTTACCTTCAGACCAGAGATGGTCTCATCAAGAAATTGTTGAACCCACTAGGATAATAAGACGCTGGACTTCATGCTTGGAAAATACTTCCAATGAAAGAACCTCAACTAAATTTGAACTGTGGTAATGCAGCAAGGTGGAGAAATCCACCATGGGGAGAGGGTTTGGGGAGGGGTGGGGGGAATCCCAGTGCCCATAACACTGTGTCACATAATGCAATGTAATTAATAAAAAACAATGCTCCCACATCAAGTCTGACATAGAATTGTATTCTGTTATAGCTTTACAGTAGTGGATGACAGGCAAGGGAGGGGAAAATGCCAGGTGCTCCATACATCACGAATGTTGGGGCTCTGCTTGTGCCAAAATCATACTCCCACTAAGCTGTACTTTATGCTGGCTAAATGCTGCAATACTGTCTCCAACTTGTCCAACAAAAGAAAAGCAGAAGGAAAATGGACGAACAATGAACAAAGCATGAAAGAGTACAGTTGAGAGAAATCTGTGATTGGTGACGGGGATTCCACATTGATCC